TTACTTGATTCTCTATAGTGAAATGCTGAGGCGAGCGTCATAAGATGGTGTCGTCACGAGTAGCGTCATACGATAGCCGATCATCACATCGATTCACTACTCTCGATCAATTCGTTTCTAATCATCATATATTTACTCTAAGAAGGTTTAAATTAAATACTACATGAAACAAATAGACGACATCGAAGATATAAACGCGAGCTGGGAGAAAATTAAAAACAACATTGAAGAAGTAGCAACAGAAGCTCTAGGAAAACGTAAAGTCATACTAAACAAAAGAAACAATAATACACCATGGTTCAGAAAAGAAATAAAAGAGAAATGTAAAGAAAAACGAGAGACCTACACAAAGTACAAAACATCAAATACTCCAGAATCCAGAGACACCTATAGAAGAATACGAAATGAAACAAAGTAGTTGGTAAGAAGAACAAAAACTGAACACTGGGAACAGTTTACAAAAATGATGGAATGCGACTTACAATGCGAAAAACATGCGAAAAACAAATATAGAGATTTATAAGAAACCAATTGAAAGAAATGGCAGAATTGAAGGAATACAATAACATACCAGCAAACGAATGGGAAAGATACCTGACGGAACTGTTTAAAGAAAAGGAAAACAATAATCAACACAATAACTTACCTGAAATAAGACATGAAATAGAAATCTGTATTCAGGAAGTAGATATAGCCATAAACTCCAGGCGGAATAACCAACGAGCTAAATATTATTTACAAGTATTTTATTATGGTTTACAATTTACATATTATGTTTAAAATTTAACATAAAATAAAAAATCAATGGGATATTTGAGGCAAGAGGTTATCCTCTACTAACTTTTGCACATCTATATCTATGCTAATCGTAGTGAGTCTAATACACGCTTCCAGAGAATCGTTTTCCATGCGATTAGGTGTTTTAGATTTAATATGCTCCAAAGCAGAAAATGTACTTTCACATATATACGTACTACTAAACATTTAATATACACATTCAAAATTTTTGGCCATCTTTTTATCTCCAAAGGATCGCGCCATTTTAACGGCACACCGCTTGATCATTTCTCCATCTCTAAATGCTTTTTTACTTTTGACGAGCTCTAAACATACTTCACATGATGCTGCTAAGCTTGATGATTGAACAGCTGTCGGTTTTGTAAATAGAGATTTTTGTTTATTCAATTTAGCTTTAAGTTCTTTTACAAGAGTATTGCGAGCTTCACCTTGATATTTGTCGTATTTTGTTTTGTACCGAGTTTCATAATGCCTACTAATATTGTATTCTTTTGATACCGCGAGTACTTGACAATAAATAATAGACTGAGGTTTGACTTTTAATTCGATGAAGAAATATTGATTTTCCCATTTTTGGCACTACTCACTCTGAATTTAACATTCAATTTAATCGCCACTGTTAATTTAACACGACAGGTGCAGCTGATTAAAGCTAGCTGCCTGCTCATCAGGAGTGGGTGTTCAAGGTTAACTACTTTCTTACGATTACGGAAAGTTTGACAGGGTTGGAACAGGTGATGTTTCAGAATGTCGTGGACCTCGTAAATACGCATGCCCGAAAAAATAAATGGATCCTAAAAACATGCACCATTTTAATTTCATAAGAAATTGGGCGACAGGGTAGGATTTGCACGTGCTAATAATGTCGAGTATTTCCAATAAACATGACATATTATGTTTCTCTAATCTTAAACATTCCAGTTAGTCATCGTATTTTTATTTTAGCTATAAAAATTTACGACTTCCCATCTTCACAGCCGATAAGAATTGCTGTGTAAACATGTAAAATATTTACATTGCACTAATTTGGCTTGTAAATAAACCTTTTAAGAATTGAAAAAAATCCAGAGAACAAATAAATAAATAACAAATGTATGATAGAAAAATAATAGGATTTTGGATTTAAATTCAGCAAAATATGTTTATATACGAGACGAAAACAACAAATTCCTTGGGAAAAATATTCGCATGAGATTTTTGCCGCATGAAATTTTTTGCATAATCACTTTCATAAAAACTGCAGAATAATGTTCAAGATGTCGCCCATATAAAAAGTGGTCCTAATTTATTGAATAGTTTTGTATAAATTCATTTTTACATTGGGATAAGGGCCTCAAACTAAAAACAATGTTTTAAAATCAAATAAGCCCAAACTAAAGTATCAGGAACTGATAAAACAAGGTTTGGTTAATTCAAAAATAATTGTGTTTTAGAGCCTCAAAAATCATGATTTTTCGTTTTTGTTTTCAGTTTTAAATTGTTTGAAAGTTGAAAACGATCAACTTTTGAGAAAAATTACAATTAACTTTTTTTATTGAGAATGATCCAAAATCTGTGTAATTAAATTGTCTGCGTATTTAAATTAAATGTACACTACCTTCAATAATGAAGGTTATATCTCTCTTCTTTCTTCAGCGCGCTGGACTGAAAACTGGAATTTCGTTCTTGCACTTGGATGGAGGGTGATAAACTATTTACTTTTATGGGGTTATATGACACTCTCTAGATGGTACTGATATTATATACTCAATTTGACTGTGCAACCGGAATAGTCTCTAAGTATTTAAGAATATTAATGCGGCATCTACATGGAGACGGAGTGTTAGGTTACGCACGATAAGACACACACACACACACACACACACACACACATACACGTTAATTAAAACTAAATAAGAAATGAAATAATTAATAAAATGTTAAAAGAACTAAAAAATATACATGGAGGGACGGAATGGGGAGGACCGAGCTTGCCACCTTGATAAGTTTGTATTCATAGGTCATTGTTGTAGCCGTCGTCGTCGTCGCTATCAGAGAGTTCTGTTTCAGATGATTCGCTATCATCATCTAAATTTATAATGATCTCATGCGCTTCATCCAGAATGTATTCTCGGCTGAAGTACTCTTCTTCTACTTTATCAACATGCCTGCAAGTATTTGCCCATATTTCTGGCGTGATTTCATTTAGCCTAATTTTTGCTAGTTCTAAAACATCTGCTAATTTAAAAGTCGTGTTTCTTGCTGCAACTTCATTTTTTAAAATGGCCCATATCTTTTCAATTGGGTTAAGTTCCGGATGATATGGTGGTAAACGTAAAACCGAGTGGCCGTGCTGTGCTAATAATTGGTCTACAGCATATACTGGGTTTTAAGGTTTAGCAATGAGTATCTTACTGTAGAGCTTGTTTTGTTTCGCTTTCATCGAAAAATATATTTCTTTTTGTCAACCATTTTTTTATGATTTTTTTTTTTTTCGAAGCCGATGTATAAGATTTTTCAAGAGTCACATTATGATATGAGGCGTTGTCTATTACTAAAACTGACTTGGAAGGTAAATTGGGAAGAAGTTTGTCTTTCAACCACTTCATATAATTCTGGTGATTCATGTCATCATGATAATCACCAGTTTTTTGTCCGGATTTGAAAATAAAAGCGGCATTTTCGACAAATCCATTTTTACCACCACAATGTAAGATGATCAGTCGTTGCCCTTTAGATACCGGAGATGTTATGTACTTGTTTCGTCCATCATCCCAACCCTTTGGAACTGTGTGGGAACTATGTATATAAGTTTCGTCACTATATACAATATTTCTATCTAAAAAAAATTGTGAATTACTTTAAAATTAGTTATAATGTAAATAAATAAATATCTTACTTTCAGATTTGTATTTTTTCAGTTTTCTTAGAAATTCTGTTTATTTGGCTCTTATGTCAGTTTTTTCAATTAAAATTTTTCTATTGTCTTCCACTTTTCTCCACCTAAATCCTAATTTTTTCACAATTTTTCTGAAAGAAGATAGTTTACCAGTTACAATTCCTGAGTTTCTAACAGATTCGTAAACAGTTTTCATGGTAGGTCTTCTTTTGTAGATGGTAGCAAACGTGTAAATGGTATTTCTTATGACGTGTTCCTCAAATGGATTGACTGATGACTTGGGGCTGGGCTTGCAAATACTTGTTCTGGGTGATACAACTTGTGAAGTTGCTGGTTTGTTTTTACCTTCCTTAGTTATCCTTTTTACCGTACTTTCTGAGGTACCAGCTGCTTGAGCCACTCGCACTATTAGGGATAAAGGAGTTGTGCAATATTCCAAATCTTTTTCCCGTTTCATAAATGAATAAATGTTAAAAATAATTTGCCTCCTTTATCTATGGACCACTTTTCTATTGTTACTTTCCCTGTAAAATCGGTAGGTTTTAGATAATAGATAAAATGTTAACTATTGGTTAAGTTTAAGAAAAACATTAAAAAAAATGAATTGAAAAGAAAAGTACTTTAAAAGTTTGTAAAGCATTTAATTTCTAGCTAAGATCCTTTGGCTTTATACATTCTAGAAACTAAATGCTTTACACACTTTTAAACCACTTTTCATTTTAATTTATTAATTTATGACAAGCTTTTACAATACATATCAATCTTTTGCAAAAAATATTAAAATAAACAATAAAGTTATCAGATTTTACACACTTTTAAAAGTGATTTTTTTTAATTCATTAATTTGTCATAAGTGTACAAAACATAAAAATTATTTTAAAATAAACATAATTTAACTTACATTTTTAGGATCTCACTGTAAAATGTTAAAAACGACTTGAAACGCACTGAACATAAATAGTATCTCACTATAAAATAATAAAAACGATTGATCACAAAAATACAAAAATATTAAAGCTATTTCACTAACGCAAAAAACTAGTTCGTCTCTGTCTCGCTAAGATAACGCACCGAAGAGAACTCAATGTTTTTAGCAATGCCTGATTTCGTTGTTTTATCCGTAGATCGACGTCACTAAATAATGACGTCAGGTCCACGACATTATGAATTATCTTTAAAAGTTATCAATGACAATACTTTTGAAATGTGTTTGTGGGGCCGCATGCGGCCCGCGTGCCTGAGGTTGGACCACACTGATATAAAGCATAAGGTAAATTCGTTTTATTGACCTGAAGAAGGCATCTGAGTTCATAAAATTTTAAAAATAAAATAAGCACATAAAAGAGAGTATATTGTACAATGTAAAGGACTTGCAAAGTAACCAAAATTTAAATTCCTTACTTCGTTTTGATCATTTATTCGCCTTAAAATATTCCTCGACAAATATTAAAATTACCTAAATTATCAAAAATACAAATACAAAAATAACAGTAAGTTCTATTTTTTATATATAAAAGTAATAGGTTCATATTTATGACAATGTGAGCTAACAAAGTTAACTATAAACTACTGTTTTCCTCTTTTATTTCCAGTGGGAGGTTTTTGCAACTGAAAACTATTCGTAGTTTGTCCTAGAGATGGCGCGGCAAACAACTGTGACGAATTCCCGCCCAATTGGCTTACAAAACAACTTGTGCCAAATGTCATACTTCCGAAGCCTGACGCTGCAGTCGTAGGCGTCGAGAAAGACATCGTACTTTGATTTTGTTGTCCAGCAAATAGTGGTGTACTACCTAAAAACGATCTTTATTTAGAAAATCTGCTATTACTACCTAATATTTTACAGAGAAACAATAATTCGATTTGAAAGTTAAACTTAAAATTTCGTTTAATCGAAAACGAAGATTTTGTAGTTAGCCACTTTTAGAACCAGGTCAGCGATATATATTTTAGTAGCAAATTATTTCTGAATTTGCCGCCAAATGTTAGTTCATGGCCCGACCACCTGTGGCGCTAGTAACTCTTTCCCTAGAAACTATAGGAGATATCATGCTATACTTTGTCTCAAAGTGACTAGTCTGTACAGGGTAAGATATGCAATGCTAACCTTATGGGAATTTCGCCAAGACGTTGCCAGTTTTATGCAGTGAGCGATGACATTCTTTATTGTCTATCTTTCAAAATAAATGGAATAAACCAGGAGTTCTCAACAAGTCCTCGCGTACAATTTTATGTAATTTACAAATATCGTTTGCTAATAATTTTACATAATACTATACAATACTTGTTTCTGATAGTAACTTATCAACTTTTATTAGTAGCAGTAGTCTAATAAAATGAGCATTAAATAAATATTTGTTTCAAAGTTTTTCAAATACTTTTTTCTAAGTTAGTCAATAATTAAGAAGCAATTAGAGTAATTATTGTACAGAATATGTTTAAAAGCTTGATACATCCAGGACCTTGATTAGTCTTTATTTGTTCTTCGGAGCGCGTAAACATATTCGAGTTACGATTATTTGTACCATCTTGGATGTAATGTTACTGTTTTGTTATTGTTATTATTAGTTGGTGGCTGTTGTTGTGATTTGCTGTTGACAATTATTGTTATTTTCTGTTGTTGGCTATTGTTATATTTGACGCAGAATATTTACCGCAAATGGAGGAAATTGTTGAATGGAAATGTGGAAAAGCTCTGAAACTTTCAGAGAAGCATTATCATATCAGGATAATAACGATTTTGTATCAAGTGTAACTAGGAAAGTGTCAGAAATGAGTGGTGTTTGCGAAAAGACTCTGTTTCGCATACGACAGGAATATTCATCACCTGCTGGATTACAATCTCCAAAGAGCAGGCCAAAGAAACGAAAGGTTGGTAATTCTCGTGACAACACGTACGATAAAGGTGTCAGGGGCAAAATTCGTAGAATAGTTTATCAATTTTTTCGTGACAATATACCACCAACAATAAACACCATATTAGCTGTGGTAAATATCGAAGAAACTTTGCATAACTTTTCACGGGCCACGCTATATCCCTTGCTGAGTGATATGGATTTTGTGTCTATAAAACGTGACAGAAATTCAATTTTGATTGAAAAAACAGAAATCATCTCGTGGAGTCATCGTTATTTACGCACAATTCGTAAAGACCGTGCACAAGGATACAACATAGTGTATTTGGATGAATTATGGGTAAATATCGAACACAGTGTGAAAAAATAATGGGTTGATAAAACAATTACATTTCATCGCGATCCTTTTGTTCGTGGTCTGACAACAGGATTAAAAGCTCCAACAGCTCCAGGTGCACCGTTCGTTTTATTGCACTCAGGATCGACTAGTGGATTTGTTGATGAAGCGGAACTCACGTTTTTGGCAAAGAAAAATACTCAGGACTACCACAACGAAATGAATGGATCGACCTTCGAAGATTGGTTCGAAAATAACTTAATGCTAAATTTGTCAGAAAAAACTGTTGTGGTAATGGACAATGCCTCCTATCACAGCAGAAAGTCAGAACAAATTTCCAACAGTTCAACACTAAAAAGAGATATTCAGAATGGCTTCTGTCAAAGGACCTATTTTTTGAAGAAGACTACCTAAAATGCGAGTTACTTGATGTAGTCAAGGCCTTCAAAGCAAAATATGACAGGTACATAATAAAAATATTGCCAAAAAGTACAATGTGAAGATTCTGAGGCTCCCACCCTATCACTGTGAACTCAATCCCATGAAATGGTTTGGAGTGAAGTGAAACGGTATATAGCTGGACGCAACGCGAATTTTAAAGAAGCTAAAATGCGAAATTTAATTACAGCAGCGTACTAGGTCATTACGCCAGAGAAATGGAAAAACTATGTACGTAAACCACGTAATAGCAACAGAAAAAAAATGTTGGAAATTGACAATTTGTTGGATGATATCGAACCAATTATTATAAATATAAATAACGGAGATAGTGATTACAGTGACGATAATAATGATGATGATGATAGTTGACAGCGATTGACAAAAAAAGGAACTAAATATATAATGGCGTACAGTTACTATTACTTACACACGAAATTAAATACAATGACTTCTTTTATTTTCAACTTATTTATTAGTTTTATTTTCGGATATTTCTATGTTTTGTTACTGCCAATATATACAGTGCGGTTTTTAAAAGTCCTTCCCCCCTTAACTTTTGAACGGAACAATATATAAATAAAATGTTTCTTTATATTTTAGTTTTATTTTATTCGATTTTATTTAAATCTATGAACAAATGGTTTGTATCGCTAGCACATACTGTAGAATTAAAAAACAAACTGATTGTGTGACATAAACAAAAGGCATTTCTTAATTTCTATTTTATTTTAATTGAACCCAAGTATGTTGTAGCAAATATTATTTATGTTTGAGAACCACTGACAGAAGGAAGCCAGACAGAGTGGGCATTAGTACAAGTTTGCAAAGAAGTATGGCATCGATGTTGTGCATTTACCCTGTACAGATTAGTCACTTTGAGACAATCTATAGAAAGGTATGGATTGAGTGTGCATCAGTAGTTTTTAGGAAAATATTTTATTGTAAGCTGTTTTGTAAATTTGTAAATTTTCTTCAATACACTTAATAATTAATCGATAAATAAGTGTGCTTTCAAAAACTGGTATGCACCAAGCTCTATAGTATTGACTATTCTCACTTTTACAAAATATATTTAATCATTAGAAACATAGTTTATTGCTTTAATTTAAAATATACTTTAAATAATACACAAATGTCGTAAACTTACCTAAAGACAAATTACTGAAAGGTGTTGGTCCAGTAGCGATTTTCGGCAAAGGATAATTGAAAATATGGCTGAGGTTTCCTTCGTGACTGTCGAAAGGATTGGAATTGTCGTTGTATAACTGTTTTCGCATCTGCAGATACGCTTCTTTCTGCGATTCTACTTGAGAGTGAACCGAGTGTAGACGACCCGCTAGAGCGACGAAAGATTCGTGGAGTCTGCGCATTCCCAACGCCATATCCTGAGACGTCACGGGGTTTGGATTTCTGTGATTTTTGACGTAACTTTCGGCTCCTTCTATTTGAGATTTTAATGCCTGTAATTGAATATAATTTTAATTATATTATATATAATTCTAATATAAACATCATTCACATCTACGCACCGACATCAGAATCCACTGAAGAAGAAATAGAAAATTTCTATCTAGACTTTAGAAGACTCTCTAAAATTGAGCAAAAAACAAGAACCTACCAAAATATCGTGGGGTCATATGAGAGTAGAGTAGAGTAGAGTAAATTTTTATTTGCATAAATGTTTAAACATAATTGAGTAAATAACGTCACATTATTAATTACAGATTAAAAAAATATATATATTGACATCACACATTTAAAATATATTAACATTACAAATTGAATATGCTGATCAAGGAGAAGGATAGGCCAAGCATTCCGCCACAGTATACGGCTCAATGTCAACTAGGTGTTGAAAAACCTTTCTTTTAAAAGCTCTATAGTGTGTTTCCTGTTTAATGTCAGATGGTAGACTATTATAAAATTTAACACACGCATACATGATTGGGAAGCAGGTGATAAAACAAACAATTTTTTTTTTTAAAGGAACATAATACATTCAAATATATAGATGGCTGAGAAAGTGAGTATATTGAGTGACTTGAATCGGCCTCTACAGGATTCTCCTGCCTTTAGTCCTAAGATCACCCGGACTGCCTTTTTTTGAACTATAAAGACAGTTGAGCTATCTACTGTAAAACCCCAGAAGATTACTACATATCGTATAACAGAATAAAAGTTTGCATAATATACTGATAGTAAAATCCCCTGGTCTAGATAGCTCTTTAACACTCTTAATGAGTAGCAGGCTCTATTCAGTTTTTTTGTTATATTTTGTATTTGTTCCCCCAATTCAGATTCTGGTCAATATGAATACCAAGAAATTTAACTGATCTAGCAGGTTCCGTGTTTTCTGATAGAAAACACGGAACCCGCTGGAATAATCTTGGCATAAGAAACAAAAGACTGATCCAATTCTGCCAAGAGACGGACATGTTTGTAACAAATACACTTTTTAAATTACACCGGTGATACCCCAGGGAAAATCATAAGAAACCAAATTGATTTTATCAACATAAACAAAAGGTTTAGACATTCTATCATCTCAACAAACATATCCAGGGGCATGTCTTCTCTGATCATAGTATATTGGTTGCAAAATGATTCATAAGAAAATGAGGCCCAATATAGATATAAGACTACTAGAAGAAAATGCAGAAAAAAGTAAAAACAGATATTAATAAGAATTTTACGAAAATAGTTGAGGACACTACAAGACAGAGAAGAGACATAGAAGAACAGTGGAATGAAATGAAGACATCTATTACCACAATTTCGCATATCTAAAATCAAAAAGAGAAATGAAGCAAGAATGGATGACAGATAAAATATTTCAGATGATGGACGAGCATTATACAGCTGTGAGGTATGGCCACTGAAAGAGCTAGAAGAGAAAGGATTACCAACGAACGCATTAGAGAAATAATGGAAATCAAACGAACAATCACAGATGACCTAACAACAAAACAAATCTGGTTCGGACACATACAAAGAATGGATGAACAACGAATACCAAAAGAAATATTAAAATGGCAACCAGAAAAAAAGAGAAAACGAGATAGACCGAGAAAAAGTTGGAGCGAAGAAATAAATAAAGTAGTAGCAGCAGTGGAAGAGCAAAGAAAATTAAAAGGTAGAAATGACAAAGAATACAAAAAGTTGCATAAGACTATATTAAAGGAGATAAAATGAGCAAAAAAACATGGCTGACGGAGAAATGTACGGAAATTAAAACACTACAACGCAAACATGACAATTTCCACATGCACAAAAAATTAAAGAGGTACAGAACACCAGAAAACAACACAATACAGGCATAGTTGTAGACATTGAAGGCCAGATTTTGACTACCATTGAAGATAAATTACGAAGATGGAAACAATGTATGCAAGAATTATTCGAAGATGCAGCATGAAGTCCGACTGAAACAAAAAATCCCTATAGCCCAGAAATAACAAACGAAGAAGTAAATATGGCCATTAAGCGGATTGAAGATGGGAAATCACCAGAACATGATGAGGTGCATGGTGAAATTTTAAAGCTATTAGAGGCACATCAAATCACAGCTCTTACGAAGCTATTCAACAAAATCTACGAGACTGGTTATTTACCAAAAGACTGGCTACTACCAATATTCATTCCACTTCCTAAAAAAGCCAATGCTAGAAATGTGAAGACCATAGATTAATTAGTTTGATGAGCCATGTACTTAAAGTACTCCTTACTATCACTCACTCGCACATATACACCAAATTAGAAGAACACATGAGTGAAGTTCAATTTAGATTCAGAGCAGGACTCGGAACGAGGGAAGCACTTTTTAGTTTGTAAGTTCTAATACAGAGAGCCAGGGATGTCAACTGCGATGTGTATGCATATTTCATTGATTTCAGGAAGGCGTTTGATAAAGTCCCACATGAAAAACTAATCGATATCCTAAAAACATCAGGACTCAAAGTTAAGGATATAAGACTGATCTCCAACTTATATCTCAAACAAAAAGCAACAATGCGATTAGAAAATGAACTGTATATACTGTGAATATTTTTAAGTATCAATATATGCATAAGAATTCTTAGATGTTACATTTTTGGTGTCCTCCTCTATGGAGTAGAAAGCTGAAGCCTTATAAAAGATGACATAAAATGTTTAGAGGCATTTGAAATGTGGTTCTACCACCAGGGAAGTCCACTGTGTCAAATTTGTGCGTTTTTACAAGTTTTATATTTGTGCGTTTTACAGCAGGGGCCATAAATAATAAAACTGAGCTGGATGTCATTTTTACTGACTTTTAAAGCTTTTGATAAGATTAATCACTCTATACTTATTGAAAAGCTAAGCAAATTTGGTTTTGATTCAGAAGCATGTATGTTTATGAGGTCATATCTTTCTGATAGATTAAATCAAGTTAAAGTGGGGAACAGTTTATCTAAGTCATTTATTATCGACATCAGGTGTACCACAAGCTAGCAACTTAGGTCCTCTTCTGTTTGCTACATTTATTAACGATTTACCGTGACGTGTGGCAGTTACACTAGTGACGTGTGGCAGTTAAAGGCAACTACTGAAAGAACACTACAAGCCACGGAGATGGACTACTGGAGACGGGCCGCAGGAAAATCAAAACTCGAAAGAATTAATAACGAACGTATACGAGAGGTTATGGGAGTCACACATACGATTGTCGAAGATATAAGAGTACAACAACTAAAGTGGTATGGACATGTGCAGAGAATGCCAGAACATCGTCTGCCCAAACAGATTATAGATTGGTCACCACATGGAAAGAGAAAAAGAGGCCGACCCAGAAAGAGCTGGAGAGAAGGAATAGACAGAGAGATCCGAGAGAGAGGTTTAGACGAAGATCTTTGGGAAGATAGAGATGCATGGAGATTGGGCATCAGAAGACGTCGGAGGACGTTTTAAACCGATTATATATATATATATATATATATATATATATATATATATATATTATATATATATATATATATATATATATATATATATATATTAACGATTTACCTCACTGTGTGAAGTTTTCGCTATTTGCTATTTTAAAATGTTTCGAGAAATTTCAAGTCTGCAGGACTCTGAGATGCTGCAATGTGATCTGAACTCAATAAGTCAATGGTTCGATGATAACAAAATGTTTCTTAACACTACTAAATGTCATATTTTTACTATCACTCAAAAAACACAATTCATAGAGAACCAATACAAAATTTCTAGCACTGTACTTGAAAGAAAGAACACTTGCATAGAACTTGGAGTAATATTTCAGCAAAATTTGAGATTTAATGAAAATTATCGGATCATCATTGGAAATGCATACAGAACTCTTGGCTTCATAATTCGTAATTCAAAATATTTTAAAAGATTTGAAACTCTAATATCATTATACAATGCACTGGTAAGACCTCACTTGGAGTATGCCTCATATTATATGGGCACCACAAGCCGACTTAAATGTTGATCTGATTGAAAAAGTTCAAAAACGTTTCTTGAGGTTTCTTTGACAGAAAGTTTGCTACCTATCCGTACATGATTTCCTATAATGCTATGTTATCTTGTTTTAAAGTTCAGTGACTGGATAATAGAAGAAATTTTCATTCAGCCCCTTTTATTTACTAGGTTGTAAATCACATTAAATATAAAGATTGCTTTTTTATAAATAATATTAAATTTAATGTTCTAAAAATACATCTAAGAATTAATAACAAACGACTGTTCTCAACTAATAAGACTGATTGTTCACTCATACATAAGATGTTAGAAGAATGTAACCATTTGATAATTAACTGTGATATAGACTTTTAAACTCGTCTGTCAAACAAATAAAAGTTGCTTTTGAAACAAATTTCTAGTCTGCAAAAGTTGTCTTAAAATTTAATTTAGATGTATGTTTTTTACTTGTTTTATTCTGTCTAGGTTTAGTTTTTAATATAGTTATTAGTTTTTAGTCATAGTAAGCACTCTCCTAATATAATAACAATCATTTTGCGCCTATAATATCATTTGCAATTATAATCATTTTGCGATTATAATAACAATCATATATCAACACCGTTCATGATCAGTTTTATCAGACATATTTTTAACAGAAATTGGATGATACACACATATAACAGAACAACTTAGAAAGTGTCATTTATACAGTCTCATAAGGTTAAAAATAAGATTGATGACTGAACAAATAATCACAGAGGGACATTCTTTTACAAATTCATTTTTTGTCACTCTCTGATTATATTTTTTCATTAACTTTCCTTAAAGAGCTATTAAAAATTACCTAAAATATGTGAAGACTGTTCTCACCTGCATATCCCTTTCAAATTTGTCCGCAAGATTCAGGAAAAACTTCAGAGGTTCTGTGTTTTCGTACTGCAAACCAGGTGGAGTGTCTTGAGTTCGTTGTGCTATTTCTACATTTTGTAAACATTTCGCTGTATCATATTTTAAATTTTCTGCTAATTGCCTGTTTATTTGTAGCTGATGTTCCACTTCCTTCAGGAGAGTCGTCAACTGCTTGATGTCTTGTTCTACTTTCTTAAAATCTCGAATTGAACATTTCGATATGTCTGAACTAAAAAAAAATACATAAAATATAAACAATTATAGAACTATACAATGTCATATTTATATATAAAACTAGACATGTCTGCAATACAAAATCAATATAAAATAATAGTTGAATCTGATCAGGTTTTCATATTGACACAAAGCTTGACCTATAAAGGGTTCCTGAGAAGACAAGGGATAAATTCTCTCTCATTTCAGCATAAATCATTGACATCTAACACTGACAATATGTCACCACCTTAGTCTAACAATCTAGAATGCTATGGGACTCTAAACCGGATTTGTGAAATGATCTACTTCTGGATTTTTCAATTGTTTACCTAAATTATCTCAATAGATATCTAATCTATTATTCAATAGATATCTATTATTCAATAGATATCTAAACCTTGGTTATTGTTATGGAGGTAAGTTTTATTTTTTAGAATGTAAGAATAATTAGACAAGTAGTAAATAAATACTCTATAAATATAATTTGAACAGTGAATTTAATTACCATTGCAATATATTGATTACAATAAAACAAAGATGAAATAGAAGAAAAGAAACAAAGAAGAAACTCATTTGTTATTTAGGTGTCCATTGAAACTGTCTCTATTAGTTCAACTGGATTTCTGTTAATTTCTTTATTTGATAACCAATCAAGTACTTATTTTGGCACAGTTAAAGTATAACATGCATATGGAGTACTCATAATTTTTACAGAACATAGGAGTTATAGGTAGCTGTAGAGAATGACATGTAAGTGTAGTATTATAGTCAGTGTTTGAGACAGAAAGTATTTGGAATAATAAATGCAATACCTTTGAACTATGTGTGGGTAGCAAGCAGACAGATAATCTTTTTTGATAAATGTATGGTAGCTGTTCAGTATGACCTAAGAGGCAGATTTTACTATGAACTGGGAACAAAATAAAAAGTAACAATGTGTAAAAAAAAGCAAAGAGTAAATAAATATTATTTACTACAGTACCTGTATACTTTCTGTTGCTTCACGAATCCTTTGAAGGCTTCTACAGTTTGGAGAAGTTCGTTAGGAAGTGGTTGATCTTTGGGTGTGACATCTTTTTGTGCGGTTACTACTTTGGCTTGTGTAGTAGCTAGTCCTCCTAGACCAACGGAAGGTGTTGTGGTGGTACTACTAGTAGTAGCCACTGTACTGGTGGTAGTTGCTGAAAAATAGAAAATGAATATCACTATACATTTAAATAATTTTTCTTTTTTAAAATTTTTAACATAAAAGTTAATGTCAGAAATAGGAAACTTTTGTACAGGTATAGATATTTTGTTCATGTATAGATATAATATTTGTCACAAAGCAGATCCCAGAGAAAGAATTAGAATACAATACATGCATTCCTATATTGTTTCATCAATTTCAGAGAGTAAAAGCCTTACAAGATGTAATACATCTTTCGTATGATAGGGAGATATCACTGAATATTATAAAACAATGAGATGGAAGTCAGAATAGATGGACAACTTATGGAACATGTAAATACAGATAATGGAATAAGACAGGGAGATTCACTAGGCCCTATGCTATTCAATCTAATCATGGATGAAGTCATAAGAGTAAAGAGAAGAGAGAGCATGATGGCATTGTTTGATGTAGTATCAGAAAATATTCATTTTGAAATGTCTTGTCTAAGCATTGGTTTGTCTTTTGTACAGAACACCCAATAAATGTGTGTAATAAAAGAGGTTGTTATTTTTATAAATAACTATATTCTGTATAAATATCACAACACTGGACAGTTATCTGTAGTGTGCAAACTGAAGTCAATGACAAAATTGTGATTTTGCAATTTATGTAAAGTAAAGTTTGTTTTAAAATGGAAAATACAAAAGAATTTACATAAAGTGCTTAATAATGGTTATGGTAGATCGGGGTATGACCCACTTAGATACCTAGACCTCCTAAGATGGGTCCATTGTATCATCCCTATCATATGGAATAGGCCCATAAGGACCTATTCTTCAGCGTTTCTGGGATCCAGTCTGTTCAGGCTCCCATATCTGCAGTAATCAGCAGGGGCTCCAAATCTGAGCTCTTCCTGTCATTCTAAATGTCTAATCGTCTAGTAGCCTTGTTGCCCCACAGAAAGCCACAAATGTGCTCAATAATATATGCACTATAAGTTTCTTGGTAACTGCAGCAGAATCTATTAATGTACATTTGAAGTTGGTAGGATAGGCTCACTTATTTTTATAATATTGAATAAAGTACAGACATATTGAATGGTGCAATGGTAATAAGTCCAATCACGTTTTCACTTAAAGTTTGCAAGCAAAGAAATGTATTTCGGATTATCTTTTTTCACGATCATCATAAATATATTGCAGAACTACAATAAACAATAGAACTATCATTATTTAAAAATTACCATATTGAAAGATTGTGCAATATATTATAATAATAACATAATATTAGAAATTATTGTACAATAACAGTTATTTTATAAGACACATGGTAAATCTTCAAAATGATGACAAACAAAGTCTCCTGATCTTTAAACTAATCTATTACTATTTTGCTCTTTTGACAGAATTCTACTTACATGACCTTTTTTCTATATTGTGAAAGTGATACTGCTTCATTTATTGTGGACCTCACAATCACTCAAATGTAAGAGGTATCACTCATACCTCTTGTATTTGATTTAAAATATAATTTTATATTAAACAACATACCTCCAAGATTAAATCCCAAGCTAGTATTTAAAGAAGTGCTGGTTGTTGTAATTCCAGTGCCAAATCCCAAACTTGGAGCTGTGGTAGTAGCAGCCCCAAATGAAGGAGCAGTTGCAGCTCCAAGTCCGAATGTAGGTGCTGCAGTAGTGGCAACTCCAAATGTGGGAGCAGCAGTGGCGATTGCCCCAAATGTTGGAGCAGCACTTGTTGTTAAACCAAAACTAGGTGTAGCTGTTGGTGTTGCTCCAAAAGTTGGGGCTGCAGTAGATGTTGCTCCAAATAAGGGACTAAATGTTTTATCCCCAGAAGCTTGAGTAGCAGGAGCAGCACGAAAACTTGATGTGGCAGTGGCTGCAGCTCCAAAACTGGGCAAAGAAGTTGTAGTAGCTCCTAAAGTAGGTGTAGCAGTTGCTCCAAAAGTAGGTGTAGCAGTTGCTCCAAAAGTAGGCGCAGCAGTTGCTCCAAAAGCAGGTGTTGTCATTGCTCCAAAAGCTGGTGTAGGAGTAGCAATACCTCCTAGAGCAGGTGCTGTGCTTTGTTGAACTCCAAAAGCGGATACATTCTAAAAATAATAATAAAATAATTAAAATACTACAAAAATATTTTAAACAATTCCTTGGTGTTTCAAATTACTTCAAGTTTGTCATATACATGAATTACACAATATTACATATTATATGATCTTTTGTAAAGAAATGTTACCGGGGGTGCAGCTCCTGGAGTAGTTCCAAAACCTCCTATTCCAGCATTTGGTGGAGCTCCAAAGCCAGTAGTTGCTGTGTTTCCAAAAAGCGATGGGGCTACAGATGTAGTTGTGCCACCAAATAATCCTGTTCCAGTTCCAAAGGCAGGTGTAGCTGTTTGTGAACCAAATAATCCTCCAGAAGCGGGTGTTGCAGTCGGCTGTGCCCCAGTTGCTCCAAAACCAAATGTTGGTTGATTTTGCATTTTCAGTTTTTATTTGTTTATTTATTTTTTGTTTGGTAAAATATAGCTGTAATTTCGGTAATGTTCAAACTAACCTACATTTTTTGAATTATACTTCTTATGACAGCCTTTTATACAAATAGTGCCAACATCAAAAATTATATTTGACAGTTAAAAGTCATTTATTAAATTTTCCAACCTTCTGCTTGTTAATTTTTAAAAAAATAATTTTGTTGTAATTGATAAATACTATTTACAATTATAAGTACTTGATTAAGGTTAATGAAAGTACTTAATTTATAAAGGTATACAAATATGTATTTTATATAATATTTCAATAACTACAAAATTTCGAAATTAAATTTGGCCATAGCTGGTTGAATTAATAATAGAGTCAAGGCCAGGTAATTGACATGCAAATTTAATTTTTTGATGTATGACATGTATTTATTTTCATTGTCATTTTTTTTGTTATTTGGAGATTGGTAATTTGATTACAGTTTTGAATTTTGGAATAATTCACAGCATATTATTTGGATTTGGGATTCTTTGTGAGTGGATGTGTTTGCAAATTTGTTACTAAGTATCTAATTTATTTAGTATAAAACAATGACTAGACACGCAAGAAATTGTACAGCTGGAGCTGTTTACACTTACCATGAAAAGAAAAAAGATGCTAAAGCTTCAGGATATGGCACAAATACTCAAAGACTTGGAAAGGATTCAGTGAAAGATTTTGACTCTTGTTCATTATCATTACAGCCGTGTAGAAATCCTGTAATAACGTAAGTAAAACTTGTTAATATTCTACAATTGGGCATTTCTCAATTGCGGGCACTCTAACCTAACCAAGCATTTATATGACATTTAACGTTCGCTTAAATGGTGTCAGAGTTGCCAAGTCTCCAGTTTTTTCATACTCTCACATAATATTATACAAATGTTGATTAAAGTGATATATAAAAAATTAATAGTATAGATTTTAGTTAAATTAAAGATAATAATCAAATGCATATACAATAAAATTGATTAAAATTATATAAAAAATTAATAGTAATAATTAAATTACCGTATATAATAGAAATGCATTGAAATTATATAAAAATTCAAAGATTTTACAAAATATTTGTTTTATAAGAAACAAACTTTTTTTTATAAGAAATTGGTTTTATAAACAAAGAAAATATTTGTTTTATACTTATTTAAATCTTGTAGCTTCTCATAATACAAATTATAATTTCGTAAAAGTAACTTATATTTTAAACCTTCATATACATTTTACAAAAAAAATACGGCAAGTTTTATACTTATTTAAAATTTGTAGCTTCTCATAACACAAATTATTATTTCGTAAAAGTAAATTTATATTTGTAGCATTCATATACATATTTTACTAAAATAAATACGGCAACACTGTGACGCAGTGCTTTGAGGAAAATATATTTGGTTAGGTTAGAGTGCCCGCAATTGAGAAATGCCCCTACAATTATTATGTTATTGAGTAACCAGAAAATGGGAAATTTAAATGTGAATTTTTTCCTTTAGGAAAGATGGATATCTGTTTGACAAAGAAGTAATATTGGAGTACGTTTTAAAAAAGAAAAGCGAATACAACCGCAAGTTAAAAGAGTACGAGAAATTAAAGAAATTGGAGGAGGAAAAGGATGCTCAGAAAGAAGCTGAGCATATTGGAAAACAAGTGTCATCATTTCTCAAAAATGAAGATAATATTGTTAGTAAATCTTTGGTCAAGATGGATACAGGTATGTCAATAAAACATGTATTTTTTGTCTTTTCTGTCATCACCCATGTCTCTCATGCATACCATAGTATTCTATTAATAATTTGTGTATGAAATAAATATAATTTGTGATTTGATTTTATAAAGTTTACTGCCTTCACTAGATGTTTTCAAGTTAGAATTTTTATATCATGTTTATATAGTAATTTCGAATTCTTTTTTTTTTTATTCAGACAGTGCTGGACCTTCGATATCCAATATGGCTTTAGGACGAGATAAAGAATTGCCTGCTTTCTGGGTTCCTTCCAAAACACCAAGTGCAGAAAAAAAGGAGTTGGAAAAGCCAGTAAGTGCTATTTTATTTATTTTCAATAACCTTTTTAGTTTATGTATATTAAAGTTGTTTTTGAGAAATTTTCAATGTAATTCTTTCAAATTTTAATTTTCCTTGGATGTTATTTTCAATCGCGTTTTCATTTAGTCATTTATTCGAAAAACACATTTTACAGAATAAAAATAAAAAACAGACCTACTCTCTCTAGCAATTATGTCAATATCTTTATAACTATTGCTAAGATGTTTATTATATTGCCTCATTGATTTGAGAACTTGATTCTTGATTATTCTGAGATTTTAGATAAAATTAATATCTTTTATTTTTAGGATCCAATTGTTTATTGCCCAATATCTAAGAAACCCCTAAAGATAAAGGACTTAATAAATGTCAAGTTTACGCCTGTCAATGACCCAGACGAAAAGAAGTCAATATATACCAAAGAAAACAGATATATGTGTGCTGTTACACACGATATATTAAGTAATTCAGTTCCTTGTGCTGTTCTAAAACCAACGTAAGTATCTATATTCAAAAACACAATATTGGTGAATTTATAGAACTGATTTATATACAACCAACATTGTTTAACCTGGCACTGGAGTATGCGGTCAGGCAAATGCAAACTGGACGAGAAAACCTACTGACCAATAAAACGGTTCAACTGGCTGCCTACGCCGATGATATTAATATTATGACTAGAACATCAACAGGAGCACAGGAAGCATACACAGAGTTAAAAACACAAACTAACTGTCTGGAACTAACGGTCTGACAAACTAGTCTGGAAATTAACACAGAAAAAACAAAAATAATGGTACAGACGAGAAGAAATATAATCCCACAAAACATTATACATGAAGATGACATTGAAACGGTTGGAAAGTTTACATACCTGGGAGTAGAAATATATGCCGATGGAGCAGAGGATGGAGAAATACGAAAAAGGATAACGCAGGCAAACAAAGCTTATTTTGCCCTCTCCCATATATTTCGGTCTAAAAGTGTCCACCGAAATACAAAGATGAGAATATATAAAACTTTAATTCGGCCAATAGCATGTTATGGCAGCGAAGCATAGGTCCTGAAAGAAACATCCAAAAACAAACTCGACACATTCGAAAGAAAAGTACTGAGGAGAATACTAGGACCTGTGAGGGAAAACGGAATCTTCAGAATTCGATATAACAATGAGCTCTATCAACTGTATAAGGAAACACCCCTGTCAAACTTCATTAGAATACAAAGATTGCAATGGGCCGGACATGTGATACGAATGGGAGAGGATAGACTACCAAAACGAGCACTGAACGCCAGAATGCAGGGAAAGAGACCAGTTGGAAAGCCAAGAAAGCGCTGGGAAGACACAGTAAGCAGCGACGCACAAGCACTTTTAGGAGTCCGTGTATGGAGAAGAGCAGCCACAGACAGACAAGGGTGGAGGCAAAAAATAAAGGGGGCCAAGGCTCATTTTGGGCTGTAGTGCCGTAGAAGAAGAAGAAGAAGATTTATATACATATATATTCTTATAAAATTTTAATGTATAATAACGGATTGATTACGGCTGTCGTCACTTCTCCTTCCAAAATTTCCATCTTTTTCTGTCATATGCAGTTGCCTCTTCTAAGTCTTTTGCTGCCATTGCCTCCTCAATATCGTTGCGCCAACTTCTCCGTGGTCGTCCTCTCTTTCTTCTTTCAGGAGGGATCCATTCTAGAGATTAATTGTTTTTTTTTCTATGTCATCATTGATATTTCGCTCCATTTTCATTTTGTTTCTTATTTGTTTGTTTCTAACTCTCTCCAGTTTCGATCTACCGCAGCTTTGTCCCAGATAATCCATTTCTGTCATCATAATTTTGTTTCTATTAGCTTTGATGATGTCCCATATTTCTGAACCGTAAAGTGTAATACTTTGGACTATACTACCGTAAATGTGTTTTTTGGTTTCTCGTCAAATTGTTTTTTGCCAGAGAAGATAGTTTAAGGCACGGGTCGCTGCTCTGCCCTTGTTTATTCTTTCCCTGATTTCATCTGCACTATTTCCCTTCTTGTTGAAAATGACCCAAAATATTTGCAGGATTGCACGCCTTTAATTTTGTCGTCTTCCAAGACTAGGTCACATATTTCATCTGTTCCCACTGAGAGATATTCACATTTTTTCATATTCATGTTTAGACCTGCTACCTCATATTCTTCTTGCAGTTTTCTTACCATATAGCTAAGATCTTAGCTGTCTTCGGCAATTACTACCTGGTCATCCGCAAAGAAAACTGTATATAGAGTGTTTTCTTCCACTGTTATTCCCATGTTTCTACATTTTTTTACCCATTTCACTAAGGATCTGTCCAAATAGATTTTAAATAAGGTGGGTGACAGACAGCAGCCTTGCCTTAGTCCCTTTGTTGTTTGAAAAGGAGAGGTGATTTCTTGTCGCATTTTAATTCTTGCAAAGTTTTGTTCATAGTATTTTTGAGTGGCGTTAATAAGAATTGGGTTTATTTTCAAGTTACCCATTTCTATCCATAATTGAGAGATCGGTACACTGTCATATGCTTTTTCCAAATCTATTAAAGCTATATGGGTTTCTCTATTTCTCTGCACTTGTTTTTCCATTGCAATTTTTAATGTGAAAATATATTGCTCTTCCTCTGTTTAAAGCATCTTTCAAATAATTTTTTCTAATAATTTGTCTGTTTAAACCTTTCTCTTCTCTCTGTTAATAATTTCTCAAAATGCGCTACCATGTTCCCTGGTATTTTATTTATTATGACTTTGTTTTTTGTCGTTGTTCTGATCGTTTTTTATTTTAAAAATTTTAAACTATTATACATTCTTATATATTCACATATTCAATTTTGTTTTAGGGGAGATGTGGTCACAATGGAATGTGTGCAGAAGATCATTAAGAAAGATATGATTCATCCCTTGACGAATAAACCTCTCTCAAAGAAAGACATAATTATAATGCAAAGAGTAAGTTAAAGTATTAATGGTTTGTTTCATTTGTATAATTTCGCATCGTTTTTAGGGTGGAACAGGTTATGCTTTTACAAATGAGAAATTGAGTGCCAAACAAGATCGTCCTGCTTTACAAGCTTAGTTATTTATTGGTTGTTTAATTATAATTTATGTATTATTATGTACATAGTTCCTTTAAATATATTATGTTAATATTCTATTTACATTTAGTTTTATTTATCAAATCACGCAATTAGTAAGGAGTTGCAATTTATTTATTACTTTCATTATATGTAGGAATTTACTTTAGCATCACAACAAAGAAAGGAAATCAAAGTATTGATATAGATATAGAACATCAGAGCTAAAGTTAAAAACACTGAACAAACATACAACTTAAAGAACTACAATTTTGAGATATAAACAACTTCATATGCTGTTCTCTTGTCATCATCATCGTTCTGGCTTTACAATCCTGTGTGAGTCCTAACCTCAAGAACTTCTCTTCAGTCGTCCCTATCCAGTGCCTTCCTCTGCCAAGCATATTATATTCCCATATTTCTCAGGTCTTCATCTATGTTATCAAGCAACCTTCTTCTAAAGATGGACACTTGGTGAGTGGTTTTCCATTCAGATGGTACTTTAATGTGTTGGCAGCATTGATTCATTAGAAAATTTATTTGTTCTATTAGGAGTGGACCTCCTGTTTTAAGTAACTCTACAGCTATATTGCCAGGTCCTGGAGATCGACTGTTTTTCATTTTAATTAACACAGCACAGACCTCATTGTTAGTAGTATTAATGTTTTGTTGTAATTTGTTTGTCTCTCCATACTAAAGTACTCCCCCATATATTCCATTCTGGACTGTTGAAGTAAATTTTTATAGTGATTTTCCCACTTTTCTATATTAATTAAGTTGCTTAAGGAGTTATGGGTGTTTTTGTTTAGATTAGTGATAGTGATATGCTTCCATAGTCTGAGAACCACCAATTAAATTTTTAACTTACCAATTTTTTAACGTACCAATTTTCAAAGTACTTTTCTTTGCCAGGTGTCGTCGTCGTAAGTTTCTATCCATATTCCGAGGCTCGGCGTTAGAATTTTTAGTCAAAAGAATTTTTTCCAGGTGATGAGAGACCGGCCCATCGCTCCAACCCCAAGCTTGGAGAACCAGGATTTTCTGTTGGAGTGTCTTTCCTTAGTCGACATGTTCCAGTTTTAAGGTGCCAGAAACTCGCCGAAACTTTTATTTCTAATCTATATTAATGATCTTCCACTGATAGACCTCACCAGTTCATTTACTGTTTTTGCTGATGACACTACTATTGGTCAGGTCTTAGTTCAGCCATAGAAGCATTACAACAAGCACAAATTAATGCAGAACAATGGTTTGCAGAAAAAAAAACCGCTTCTAAACCTCCATAACACCCGAACTTTGATTTTTTTAACAGGTCCGCTTCTTTCCGGGAATGCAGGCAAACAAATCAAATTTTTGGATGCAAGACTGTTTTAGAAAGCTTATACAAGATCCTTTGTTTCTAAATTAGGATCTGCAACTTTTCTGATGAGAAGACTTTCTGAATGTGTATCTCAATTCACCCTAAAGTAGGCCTATTTTACACTGTCATTCACACATCAGCTATGTACTTTTATATAATATGAAATATGCACAATATTAAACCAGGAATAAGCATGAGTTAATGTTGCTCTACACCAGGCTGCAAAAAAGTAGATACGGACCAAACATTTATGACATATCTACAATAAAGTGCCTTCTGCAATCAGTGAATTACCAAATTTACAATTAAAAAAAAACAAGAATTTTTTCATCAGTCAGGCATCTTATAGCAGTGATAAATTTTTAAATTTTAACTGTAATGGTTGGAACTGGGTTGTGTGGGTTGATGAATCCTCTTCTGTTTATACCTGGGAACTCAGAGTGTAATGTTTGCCTTAATAAATAAATAACTTGAACTTGAGACTATAACAAATAATTATTGGAGTGCAGTGATATTATACATTCTATAAAAATTAGGATTAAAACTTTTCCGAAACTAATACTAGAAGGAAAGGTAGAATACTGAATACCTAACATCTCCCCTAGCAAGACAGTTAAAGGTAATCGCCAAACAGAAATGTGTGACACTTTTCTAACATGGCAAGCCACATGTCAAGAGAGAATTATAATTGAGCTCTTTCTAAAAGAAATTTACATAAATCAAAACTACTTTGAATTTAATAATCAAATATATACCAATAACAGTGCAACCCTTGTCAAGAATAAACCTCTAAGCCCACTGCTATCAGATATTTTTATGGATCATTTAGAAACAAAGATTTCAAAAAATCCCGTATTCAAACAGTTTTTATATTAGTGGAGATACGTGGACAAATACTGGTATCTTTTATATGAATTAACAGGTAACGAACAATTATTATTTTACATGAATTCACTCCATAGTCATATTGAATTTGCGATAGAATAGAAATAGAATAAAATCAATCAATGTTATATATATATATATATATTAACAGAAGTTCCCATGTCAAAAAATAACTTCGAGATATAACTGAATATCATTAAACAAATAGCATTAACACTGGGTACAACGAACAAACAATAAACAGAATTTTAAACCAAAACCCACATACGAAAACCCTAAAATTAGATAGTCTGTTCACTCTTAAGTCAGAGAAAAAACCCAGTACCTTTTGTCAGATTACATATACAAGCAAGATATAAAAAATATAGCCAATAAGAAAGGAATATCACCAAGTTTAAGAACAAACAATAACCTAAGCAAATAGGTATATTAGAGCAACAAGACCCAAAAGAAAAAGCACTTCCACAGTGTTGTATATAAACTTACATGTGGTGACTGTCCAAAAACTTATATCGGTCAAACTGGTAGAACATTTAACAAACGTATATCAGAACACAAAAGGGCTTTCACTAATAGAAATACTGATTCTATGTACGCACTTCACCTTCTAGATAGGTAATAATTATTCTTTTAACGACCAATTTCAAATTATACACATTCAAAATAAAGGCCTTAAACTTTTCTTAGGCTTTTCAACTTATTCAGTTAACCACTATAAAGTGAAGATGCATACGTGACATTATTTCACATTTATCCATTTACACATTTAAATTTATTCATATCATTTATAATCATTAACAAAAAAAATCTGAATAGAACCGTTTTAGCACCCACCCTTTCAACTCTGACTACCTGTGGAAAGCTACCTTCTCCGCGCGAATTAAAATCTTTCTATCTACCAAAATCTAATCAATACCACCAGTGGGACGCAACTACTCCAGTGCCAATACCCATAAAAAGAACCACGTCCTGAAGAGGTGATATACACACAGATACCCACCGAAAATCCAATCAAAGAAAAACACACCAATGAAGTAGCTAGCAAAATACATCACTTGAGAAGGGCACTCTATCGAAACAGCTGTAGTGAAAATAAATTGTAATTCATTTTGTGGAAGTGCAGAAAACTATCGTTTTTGAGTGTTTTATTTTTTAAAAATTCTTTTTAAAAATCCATGCTTCCTCTTTCTATTTTCGGTTGCAGTTCGATCTTGAGCCTCAAAGAACCGCTCTAAAATCGAGTTAGAACTCTTTAATAAAGCAATTAGAGTAAGTGTGGTAACAAAAGACGAGTTACACTGTTCTGACGACAGTTCTAACTTCAAATGACACGTTTTGAGCGTTAGGCAATCCTTTACAAATTACATTACTGCTGCCTTTGCCTACATACCTCTACCTAACTCAATAATAATACCAACCTATTAATTTTCTTCAACCGTTTTTCCTGATGTAACAATAGCGTCAGAGATACAGTTACGTAGCGTAGCGCAGACGCGGTGTTGCCAGATCACGATCTGTTACGTCTTAATTCAATATTAGCAGGAATTATGTTTTCTTTCGGCTGGCTTCCAGAATAAACTTTCCAGTTTTCATGTTTGTACCATATGAATGGTTTCTGATGTGTGTCGTTACTAACTCTTCGATTTACTGTGATATTATAATTTCGTTTTGATTTTCTGCTTTTTTCCCCAATTTTGCATTAAAATCACCCATTATGATTATAAACTTTGCTTTATTTAGCATCATTGCTTCATTAATTTGACATAAGCCTCCCCCAAATCAATCCAGTGTTTTTTGATCTTCTTAATGTGATTAGCCCATCTTATTTGTGGTCTTCCTCTGCTTCTCTTTCCTAACCATGGTCTCCATTGTTGTATTTAGTGGTTCCATCTCTTATCCTTCAGTTGGGCATTGTGTCCTGCGAAGCTCCATTTTAATTTAGCAGCATGTTCTCCTGTGCCTTTTACTTTGGTTTTGCTTCTAATCCATTTGTTTGTTTTTTGTCTATAAGTCCCACCCCCCAGTATTGATCTTTCCATCGCTCTTTGTGCTTTTACTATTTTATCCATATTAGACTTGGTGAGTGTCCACGTATGTAAACCATATGTGAGTATAGGGACAATACACTGATCGTAAATTCTGGTTTTCAAATATTTTTCTATTTTAGTGGTTTTCAAGATCCAACTCAGTTTTCAAAATCCTGCCCACGCTAATCATATTTTTCTGGTAATTTCGGCAGTTTGATTTTCTTTGTTAACTTTCATTATCTGTCCCAGGTAGATATATTCGCTTACTGTTCCAAATTTATGTCGTTCAACGATATTTCTCTAATGTTCGATGTATTTGTCATTATTTTATTGTGATTAAAAGACAATCAAAGATTTCTTCAGAAGTAGAAGTATTTTCCGTGACGTGCAATCGTTTGTAATGTAAAAGTTTAAGTTCTGCGTTTTTAGTCTTATTTCAAATGCCTCAAATTTGTTGCCAAAAGCCAAAATTTAAATTTTATGCCATAGATTTTGAAGATTAGACTTTAGCAATAGAAATTTGAACTGCCTTGATCTAGTACTTGTTTTAATTTGACAAAAAATGTTTCCTTCGTTGTTTGAGGCTCGTTATTTTCTGGGCCGTATACTCCGATAATATTCAGGTCTTCCTTCCCTATTCTTTTCTTTGCTATTAGAATCTTTTCTCATACGTATCGACACTCTTTGATGTGATTTTGGTACCTTTAGTATATTATACCCCATTCCACGAATATACGACTGTTTTAAATTCGCTTTAAGGTGTCGATTTAAATGGTCCAATGTACTGAATTGTACAATAGTAAATTCT